CTAATACACATGCGTGAAACTCAAGGCCCGAAGGCCAGATGTGCCCCCCATTTGGTGACAAATAATAACAATTGTCCTGCCCCTGACCTGGCTTTAAGTAACTGAGCATTTTAGTCGGCTGGCACAGTATTAATATCTGAAAATAAGCTGCTTTAAAGTCAGYATCAACCATAAACTAAATCTGTCATAATGCATATTATCTACTCACTAGAAACTCATCAGTGAGTAAAACTGTATTAGTTTTACTTTTAATAACTTTTCTGTATTTATTTCAGATTTAGTCAGTCGTACACTTAGTTCTCATCAGTGTTTAAAAGAGGACGTGTTAAAACTCTGTTTAGTCAAAGTTAAACATGAAACGTCAAAGTTCATTACAACTGGCTCTTCGAGGGCCACCATAACGCTCATGTAGCCCTCGGTGAAAATGAGTTTGACACCCCTGGTCTACTAGAAGTTCTGTTAAATAGTTAGCAATAGTTGGCACATTTTCAGGTATATTAGCTAATACAGTATGTCAGGTTTTGTACTTAAAAGGTTGCTGTTTATTAGCTGACATTAAATGTCTGCACTTTTGCATGATAGAATTTTTTATTTTTGTTTTCTCTCATTTATACAGTAATGCTGGACATTTTTTATTGAGAAATTGCAACAAACTAAACAAATGATGTCATTAAGAGCTGTTCCCTCTTCAGGGGTCTCCACAATGAGTCATTCAAACTCACTCTGTCCTCTGTGTCCTCTGTCCTCAGTCCATCTACCTCCATGTCCTCTTTAACTGAAACCATATCTCTCCTCTTTGTTTTTTTTCCTGGCAGCTGTATCTCTAACATCCTTCTACCAAWATACCCACTGTCCCTCCTCTGGACATGTCCAAACCATCTCAGTCCAGTCTCCCTTACTTTATCTTGCAGACCTCCAACCTGTGCTATRCCTCTGCTGATGTCATTCCTCATCTTCTCCCTCTCAATGAGAAGCTCAACATCTTTCAGCTCTACCACTTTCAGTTCTGTCTCCAAACAATACAACTTGGCTGTTCTCACTTCTCTCTTGTGATCCTTTCCTTTGACCTTTGCTGCTACTCTTTTGTCACAAATCCATCCATCCATCCATTTTCTTCCGCCTATCCGCGGTCGGGTCGTGGGGGCAGCAGCTTCAGAAGGGAGGCCCAGACCTCCCTCTCCCCAGCCACTTCATCCAGCTCCTCTGGGGGAACTCCAAGGCGTTCCCAGGCCAGCCGAGAGACATAGTCCCTCCAGCGTGTCCTGGGTCTTCCTCGGGGCCTCCTCCCGGTGGGACGTGCCCGGAATACCTCACCAGGGAGGCGTCCAGGAGGCATCCTTACCAGATGCCCGAGCCACCTCAACTGGCTCCTCTCGACGTGGAGGAGCAGCGGCTCTACTCTGAGTCCCTCCCGGATGACACAAATCACAAATCACTCCTGAATATTTCTCCATGATGTCATGCAAAAGTGTAGAAGTTTAAAAATTAGCGGAAGTAGAATTGTTAAGCTAGTCATTAGCTTTTACCCTTTTCTTTCCACTTTGTTTGATGCTGTTATCATGGTTGATATGCTAACTATTAAAAATCATTTCACATCAGAAATGACCAAACTACACCTTTAAGGACAGTGCAAACATTTTAAACACAGGTAAAATAAAGAAAGATATTTTTATTAAGTGGTGTAAAGTATATAAGGGAACAAGTAAAATATTAGTACGTAACAAGATGGGATTAGTCAATGAATTAAAGTATTCTTACACAGAATAAGCATTATCCACCAGTAAGGAACATGGCACATATACCGTTTTAAAAAACAAGACACACAACAAATTGAACTGATTGTGTGTTTGACTTGCTATAGACCGAGCTGAAGGCAGAATGCCCAGAAGCAAACAGGAAGAGAAGATGGCTGCGGCACAAACCTGGCAGAGACATCAGCAGAAACGGTCTGCTGATCTCTTTGGGTTTCAGCAAGCCGTTTACCGAACAAAACATTAAATATGATGACCGTGCAGGACCTGCCTGAGTTTATAATAACTTGTCAACTTTCAGCCCCTGCTAATTGGACTCTGTGCAGAAATAGCTGCACATTCTGCACGGCTCGTCTGACGTGAACGTGTCCTCAGCTGAAAGTCAGCAACTGCACGGCTCTCAGCCACGACAGTGAAAAATGCAGAACATGTCCTTGTGCTCTCTGACCAATCTGTAAACTTCACTTGGTTTCTGTAACTGGAAACAGAAGCTACACATCTGCYGAACAACTGCAGCTCTCCATCTGATGGATGCATGCGTACATAAATCAGGGCACACTGCACAAAGTTATGGAAATCACTGTGATGCCTGCATTTTACATATGTACAGCTCAGCACACAGGCTCTACAGCCAACTTTATGCTTTATTTTACTGCTCTCTGTGAACTTGGTAGAACTCGGACTGAGTTCTTATCAAATCTGAAKCTGTGTTTGAAGTAGCCACATGGCTGAAACAAGGAAGGAGGAGAGTTTTGTATGTGTGTGCTGTTTGAGAAAGTAGATAACAGAGCAAATATTAGCATTTAAACTCCATTTATTTCACAGTTTGTGTACCATTTTAAAGACTTGTAACTTTTCTGGTTAAATTAAACTCTGTGGATTAATGAAAATAACATTTGGGCGTCTTGCTGCTCATGCTGTGTGTTCTGGTAGGYATGCGTATCCTGGTGACCCTCCTGCTGGACACACTTCCCATGTTGGGCAACGTGCTGGCACTCTGCTTTTTTGTCTTCTTCATCTTCGGCATTGTTGGCGTTCAGCTGTGGGCGGGGCTACTGAGGAACCGCTGCTTCATGGGAGAGGATGTCAGAATGTAAGTTGTAACGATGTGGTATTGAACAGTCAAAAAAGGTGCAGCACACTCCAGCTCCACATGTAAAATCTAAAACTTTATTATCACCTGCTGCAATGGAAGGTGGGTGATCACCTGTATGTATCTTGGTGTGTCTGGATATTTGTTAGCAAAATATTACAGTTAAAAGCTACCACTTGCCAGCTTTACATATCAAGCTTAAACTGTGTGGTAGTAGTGGAGACGGATCTCTTACACAAACTCTGAGTTAACAAATCATGCAAGAAATTTCTTTAAAATGTTACCATTAACAGTTTGTCTCAACCTGTATGTCTGTTAGAAAAATGACAAACACAATAACAGATACCAATTAGTCAATTTTGCAAATATATGGCCTACGTTTGATGTGCAATTAGTTATGAGTCATTCCAAACACATTAACTTCAGAATGCATGAGGTTTTAGCTTAAATTTTGGCATTCAGTTGGTTCCTAATAACCCTGAACCCTGAATGTCCTTCCACCAAGCTATTATTGCAAAGCTGGGATTGATGTCACAGATAGCCTGTTTGTGCTTTAATCAGGTCTGCAAATCTGTAACCAGTCCTCAGCTCGGAACCCAAACCAGAGAGGAAAAATTAGTAGGTTATATGCATTAAATTTTATATCATCCAAAGTTGGTCCTTTTTTGTCCCAAGAACCACAGTTTCAGTGCGGCTCCTTCATGTCACGCTCGATCACAGTCGAACTCCTGGTGTCACACCATTACTCTCACTCCTGTTCACGCTCACATGTTCACAGACATGGTCACAAAGCATCAGGTAACAACATTTCCAGCCCCTGACCTCACATCTCCTCATCTTACTCATCTATATCATCACTGACAGTCCTGCGGGACGTTGTTGCTGCACCTGGAGAACAAATCGGCTGCTGCTGCTGAGTCACAAACGAGCGAAAGATCAAAACAAAAGACTTTTATTAAAACTAAAATGTCATGGCACAACAAAAAAGCTTGAAAGTCTGCAAAAGGAGAATGAAAAGTGAATGTTTTTTTGTCTTGTCATGTGGAAACAAAAGACAGAGTTACTGGCTATTTGGTTGATGTGGATAAACACACAAAGCATATGACCTGAAAAGATTCAGATTAGGTGCATTTCTAATTGACCAGAAGTACCTGCAAGATAATGGACGAGCCTTAGGAAAATATACCCTCCAAACAATTTAAATTGTATATATATATATATATATATACATATATGTATATATATGCTAATATTTGCCCAATATATAAATAATGTACATGGATGGATGGATGGATGGATGGATGGATGGATGGATTCATCCATCCATTCATCCATCCATTTTCTTCTGCTTATTCGGGATCAAGTCATGGGGGCGGCAGCCTAAGCAGAGAGACCCAGACCTCCCTCTCCCCAGCCAAAGCTCGTCTGGGGGAATGCCAAGGCGTTCCCAGGCCAGCCAAGAAACATAGTCCCTCCAGCATGTCCTGGGTCTTCCTCTGGGCCTCCTCCCAGTGGGCCGTACCTGGAACACCTCACCAGGGAGGCGTTCAGGAGGCATCCTAACAAGATGCCCGAGCCACCTCAACTGGCTCCTCTCGATGTGGAGGAGCAGCGGCTCTACTCTGAGTCCCTCCTGATTGACAGAGCTTCTCACCCTATCTCTAAGGGAGAGCCCAGACACCCTGTGAAGGAAACTCATTTTGGCCGCTTGTTTCCGCAATCTCATTCTTATGGTCATTACCTACCTACAGTACAGACCAAAAGTTTGGACACACCTTCTCATTCAAAAAGTTTTCTTTATTTTCATGACTATGAAAATTGTAGATTCACACAGAAGGCATCAAAGCCATGAATTAATACGTGGAATTATATACTTAACAAAAAAGTGTGAAACAACTGAAACTGGACATGGGTTTTTACGATGTAAAAACAAGTGTGCATTGCCATGTAGCATGTCATTGCCTGCAGCACTGGACTTGCAGAATGAACTGTGACCAAGTTCAAAAGTGTTTTCTAATTATTATCAGTCAAACACCTGCCAAGTCAGCAGGTGTTTGTAGTGAGCGTAATTGTGTGACAATATATCAATCTGAAAATATGTAGTTTTACTGAAATAGTTTGATCATAGCTGGGATTGAACCCCGATCTCCTGCCTGAAAGCCCACAGTGTTCACCATGAGACTATAGGAGCTGTGGCACAGGACAACCCCAGGACTTGGGTTGTATGTATGCAGAAAGAGTTTACCTTGCCAATACAATTGTTGACACTAAACTGCATAATATTACAACAATAGAGCAGTACTGAGACAATGTTATAGTAAATCATCAAAATACAATCATATTAGTATTGTGAACACTGAACTACTGAGTTTAAATATTATTAAATTATGGTGCAGTACCATATTGTGTAGATGCAGCAGGGGGCAGTATTGGACCAATACAAGGCTCCATTGACTGCCATTATAATTAATTAAACCTTAATATTTCATAAATCATAATTTTTTACAGGCACCAAAAGGCATAGCCATCATTTGGCACAGGAGCTTTACAGATATAAATTACAATGGCCGCTCTAGGACAAAGTATGCAGGACTAGTAGTGTGCCAAAGTTGAGATGACTTGGATGTGAAACGAATCACAATAGTATGCACACTGAATATGTCGTATTCTAGGTTCTTTAAAGTAGCCACCTTTTGATTTGATTATTGCATCACACACTCTTGGCGGAGTCCAACTCTCACCGGAAACGAGTCCAACTTACTACCAGCAATGTGGACCAAGCTCTGGCACCAGTCATACAGGGACATAACAGCCTGTATTAAAGGGCTTGGTACCCCCCACAGGACTCCCTGAGGGACACGGTCGAACGCCTTCTCYAAGTCCACAAAACACATGTAGACTGGTTGGGCGAACTCCCATGCCCCCTCCAGGACCCTGCTGAGGGTGTAGAGCTGGTCCAGTGTTCCACGACCAGGACGAAAACCACACTGCTCTTCCTGAATCCGAGGTTCGACTATCCGACGGACCCTCCTCTCCAGGACCACTGAATAGACCTTACCAGACAGGCTCAGAAATGTGATACCCCTATAGTTGGAACACACTCTGTGCTCCCAATTTTAAATCGGGGGACCACCACTAACCCTGGGGCCTTGCCACCGAGGAGCTTTTTAACCACCTCGGTGACCTCAGGTCCCCAGGCTCTGCTTCCACATTGAAAGACGTGCTGGTGGGACTGAGGAGGTCTTCAAAGTATTCTGCTCAACGCCCCACAACATCTCGAGCTGAAGTCAGCAGCGCACCATCCCCACCATAAAGTGTTGGTGGCGAACCGCTTTCCCCTCCGAGATGCTGCATGGTGGACCARAATTGCCTCGAAGCTGTACGGTCTTTTTCCATGGCCTCTCTGAACTCCTCCCACGCCCAAGTTTTTGCCTCAGTGACCACCAGAGTCACAATCCTCTTGGACTGCCAATACCTATCAGCTACTTCCGGAGTCCCACAGGCCAAAAAGACCCGATAGGACTCCTTCTTCAGCCTGACAACATCCCTTACCAACGATGCCCACCGGCGGGTTTGAGGGTTGCCGCCACGACAGGCATTGATGACCTTGCGGCCACAGCTCTGTTAAGCTGCATTGACAACAGAGGCATGGAACATGGATGAATGTATTGTATACTATATATAAACATTATAAAACAATGCTATATAAGCATACATTTTGACAATGTGTTACCAGGCACTATGTTTCAGGAATTCTCATTGATAAAAGGCCTGTGCTGTAACAAAAGGCTGGCACTGGCACAACTTCAGAAAATAACTGGCCTCAAATTTCACTCTGTTTGAAAGGATAAAACCTCACCCTTTGCAACTCTGTGTTGACACCTCCATGAGTGCTGGACAGGAAAATGGCAGAGATGTTTTCCAAAAGTGAAAACYGCTTGAAAACATATCAAACAAGTAATTCTCTGCTGGTTTGTTGCAGAACAGATGACTAAAATAGATTTTCCCCCTTACACTTCCAGACAACAACAATGCTTAACAAAAATTATATACAAACTGTATATCTAAAACAGAAACTTTTAAACTCTACGGTTTTCCCCCACACATTTTTCCTTTTGTTTAGTCAGTATGTGGTCTTGACAATATCCTTAAATGTTTTACTCCAAACTAGATCTTACTGCCGGTTTTGCAATTTGATTCTCTCCCACCTTTTGTGTATTTAACAAAAAGACATTTCCTAAGAAGAACAAAGGCAGCTGTGTTCCACCGTGACCCCTCTCTGCACCAGAAATGATTGATTGCTTATCTCTCCACTGCACCCTCCCTTTCTTTTAATTTTTCCTCGCTTCATCCATATTTCTCACAATGTGATTCCTCATTTCTTCTTTCTGCGTCCTTGTCTATTTCATATTTCTCCCTGTTGAAAAGTCCTTTTGTAAGAACGAGGAAGCTGATGAAATGATTTATCACTCAGAAAATAATTACTTGAATTTTTTCCAATCACCTTGTTTTTTCCCCCATGTGTAGGTAATTTGAAAACATAAACATTTTAATCAATCCTGCAAACATGGGTTAGTAGTGTAGGCGGGTATGATTGCAATTTGGTTTTCGGCTGCCACCAATTAGCAGATGATCAGTAATCTGTCTGTATGTAATCAGAGGTGGGTAGAGTACCCCAAAATTATACTCAAATAAGAGTAGCACTACTTCAACATAGTTTTACTCAATGAAAAGTAAACATTGGCCATCCAAAAAAATCACTCAAGTAAAAGTTTTAGTGTTTTGTAAAAAGGCTACTTGAGTGCTGAGTAACTGTTCATACAACTGATTTGATGTTTTAAAATGATGTCATCAGAAGGACAAAAAATAGAAAATTTTATGCAAATTCTGATGTTTTTAAAGACTAAAATGAAGACAGTAATACAATAAAGTAATTTACAAAATAAAATCCAGCAGAATAAACATGTTTTTAAATCAAAATTTTCTCATTATGAAACCTACAAAACTTATACTTCCTGTAGGTGTGTCTCTTTACTGCTTATCTGGTGAAAACGTTTGTACTTCAATCAAGTGAAGTTACTTACAGTAGGTAGAGTATTCCAAAATTTTACTTAAATAAGAGTAACGATATTTCATAATTATATTACTCAAGTAAAATAAAAAGTACAATGTAATAAAACTACTCCTTAAAGTATTTTTTTCTCCAAGAAATTACTCAAATAAGTACAATTAAGTAAATATAACTAGTTATTTCCCACCTCTGGTGTATATTCATGTGTGTATCTGTTCATTTGTCTGTTGGTTAGCAAAATATCTTATGAACCAGTGGATTGGTTGGAATGAAAATTTCAGAAAGTATTCGTTGATGCATTAACAGCTTAAATAACTTTTGGTGTTTTGAGTCAAAATGGCTGCCACAGCAAGTCAACCTCAGCAAGCACAACAGTAGTTACAACTCAGGCAGTTTTACTGTTAATAAGCTGACATAGCAGCTATTGAGCTAACGTGGTAGTAGCTGAGTGCCATTAGCTTGCACAAGATCTCACAATATTGCATGAGATCGTGCAGAATGTTATTTTCAAGGTTTGACCAAAGGTGGTTTTAGTTAAAGACTTTGGCGTGTAATGTCAGGCTTGTAAATCTATTTGTGCTGTTGTACAAAATTTAACTGATAAAATCATTATTTAAATGAAACATAATGGCAATAAAATGTTATTGTGATGTGCAAACRAAAACCTACAACAACAACAAAAAAACTTTAAGTGCTGATAACTAATTTTAAAAGTTTTATTGTAATAAAGAGACAATATTTCTTCATCTATCATTTTGTTTTTTAAACACGTTAAATATATTTTAAAAAGTTGTTTTTAATTTGTTTCCTTTTCACTCAGGAGGTACAACATCACTTTCCTGAATGGGTATTATCGTCCAGATGGCACAGACGACCATCCCTTCATTTGCTCGACAGAGAGAGAAAATGGGATGCTTCGCTGCGCCGATGTGCCACGCCGCCGTGTGGGCGGGGCTTATTGTTTCCTTGGTGCTGAGGACGCTCAGTCTGAGACTAAACTAACAGCAGACAAGCCGGTGTCTTGTGTGAACTGGTATCAATACTATAATGAGTGTCGGGCTGGGGAAATAAACCCCCACAAAGGAGCTATTAACTTTGACAATATTGGATATGCATGGATTGCCATTTTTCAGGTAAATTTACAGAGAATTTCTTAATTTAAAGCTATGATGACATGTTAACAACATACTTCTGTAGTTACATTTGGTTTGATTGCTTGTTTTCCTTCAGGTAATTACTCTGGAGGGTTGGGTAGACATCATGTACTATGTGATGGATGCACACTCCTTTTACAACTTCATCTACTTCATTTTTCTCATCATAGTAAGTACTTACTCAAGCACACATTAAAGGGATAGTCTGAGGATTTCTGTAGTGATGTTCTGTCAAACAGGTATCAATAAGATAAAAGGGGCCTCAGTTTAGCTAATCCTTAGCCTTGCCTGGAGGAAGACTTCTTCCTTTTCTTCATGCTCTGGGCTCCATGACTGCTGTCTCAGCTGAAGGTTTTATCTATTCATAACCATTAGAGCAGTGGCAGATCTAGGATTTGTCTGAATAAGGGGCCATCAAGGGGCCACTGTATTCATAGAGGGGCCAAGTGTTTGTTTAACATCCTTTCACACAAATCTCCAGTTTTGGTAAAGTGTTCACATTTAACCAGTCATGTTCAAACACCTGTAGTGTAATTTTTTTACCAGTTTTACATACATTTTCACTGTACATAGATAAAATACTCTAAACACACAGCATCGTTTGTCAGCTGAAAGACTTTCTGCAGTATTGTTCAGATTTTCTTAAGAAGAGAAGTTTTCATTCAGCTTGATTCATGCTGGACTTTCCTATTTGACTCATTAGTGCCTCTAGTGTTTGGACATGAAACTGCATCCATCATTATCGCTCCCAGGTATAGGACAGATGAGTAACAGGACAGGGGCACTTCAGGGGGCCAATCAGATTTCAGTTGGGGCCAGTGCCCCTGTGTCCCCGCCCCTAGAACCGCCCCTGCAGTAGAGAGAACATTGCTTCAAACCTTCATCAGACTGTCCCTTTATATCCCAACCTGTTAAACTTGTTTAACAGCCACTTTTTGAAATGTTTGCCAGGTGGGTTCTTTCTTCATGATCAACCTGTGCCTGGTCGTGATAGCAACCCAGTTTTCCGAAACGAAGCAGAGAGAGCACGCCTTAATGAAGTCAGAGCAGCGCGCCCGCCAGCTCCACCAATCGGCGTCCACGCTGGCCAGCGACAGCCAGCCCGGCAGCTGCTACGAGGAGATCATCCGCTACCTGGCYCACCTGGGCCGGAAGGCGTGGCGGCGGGTGTCGCGCTGCTGTTCCCGGGCACGAGCCCGGTTTCACTGCACGTGCAAGTGCAGGAAAGGACAGTCAGGCAGCGGCGGTGGCGGATCAGCCCGAGGGGGCGGGGCTGGAGAGATGAATGGACTCGCAAACCGGCACTCGGGCCACGCCCCTAATGACTTGTCGCACCTTCATCAGCTTTATCATCTTCATCACCAGCATCATAAGCAGGCTCATCAGCCTGAGCTCGCCGTCAGTAATGGAAGGAACAGTTTTAATTATCCCTTCATATTGCCACTCTTAAGTCACCTGGATGATAAGCGCCGGGACCAGAAGAGGATGGTTACCACGGAGACCATCAACAGAGCACCACAGCTGGGGCTTGAGCACGGTGAGAACGGAGGGGTGTGTGTGTGTTTGTGATTGCTCTCAGGATTAGAGTATTGGCCCTTGAGTCGTTCAGGTGAGGAGGTGTAGCTGGTTGGACACCTGCTTTCTGTCAGTGTGCTTTAATTCTCAAAACCCTGTTTTTTTTTTTGTTTAAGTGATCTGAGCCAGTTTGACTAMTTTGTCACCTCCTGAGAGCATATACCTTCCACTTATGCTCCATTCTAACTGAGATAWTCACTGATGCTGTGTTAAATTTACCTGCAAGCTTGAACTCAGGTTTGGGTGTGTTGCCAAATCTGTGCTGCAGCTGCAGGTCAGAAAGCCAGTGGGGTTTGCTTTTTGTTGTGCTCACTGCTCCAGCTAATTACTATTAGCAGGACAAGCTGATAACTATGCATGTTTCATTATTTTAAGCCTTCAAACACTGTGGCAWCATGTTTGCTCATGATTTAAGACCATATAAACAGGTAAAAGTGCAAATAAACAGTTTATTTACAAGGCAGCCATATTGTATTTTGAAGTTATAKCCGATGTTGGAGAACAGACCTTCAGGTGACATTCTGATTGAACTTTTGGATTTGGAACTTGAAAATTGCGAGATCCAAGCATAAATTAGATATGTCATTAAACTGATAACTTGGTGTGAATTTCTGTGGAAAATATATGAACAATTAATGTGTTATTTGTTGTGGATAGATCTTTGAACAGTCCCAGTTTGGAAAGCCAGAGTTTATTTCTGACTAATGGATTGATGAAGTTATAAAACAATCCAAAAGGTTTCATTGCAATACATGTTAAAATACAGTATATAACAGCCGTCATCTTTGCATTTTTAGCAAATTTGTTGGAAATTTCATGCATTTTTTTGTGAGTACTCAAGGTGCATCAGATGTGCTACAGCTAGCTGCTGTTGTCATTTAAAGACAACTATGTAAATAGTCAGCTAATGCAAAATTGTTGATGAAATAATAGTTTAGAAAATGGCATCTACAACAATCCTGTTATTCTATTAAAGTAGCCGTTAGCTTGTCAGTCTAGTTACAATTAAACTCTATTTCTCCAACCTGAGATTGTTAAAGATGCTATCTACAATAGGTAAGATATTGACAGTTCCTTACCTTTACTCAAAGCCTCACTTCAGTAAGTTTAAACTGCTGCTCAAATCTTGATGTGGCATTTTTCTGTTTATAAAAATATTGTTTCTGAAAACGTTAACCTGAGATACAGGATTGTTTTTTTTTTATTTTTTTTATTTTGCACAAAGCTGTCTGCAAAATCTTTCTTGGTAGAGGATGCATTCTCCAGGCAGTTGATAAAATGAACCATCTGTGTGTCTTTCACCATCCTCTATAAGCAAATTTAAACCAATCAGATCAGTGAACCGGTACCAGATGCACCTGTACTTTATTCATTTTCTTCAGTGGGCTCGTCAGGAGAAGAGTGACAACAACCTTTTCAAAATAAAACGAGTCTTTAGTGTTTTTTTTGCTTTATTTTAAAGAAAAATGACACTAATATATAAATTAAATTTCAACCTTTTTCCTTACTGTCTATYACCTGCCTGTGTAATTGCTAGTATACCTCACTGTTTTGTCCACCGTGAGTCAGACACAAAGCCTCTGCCTTCAGGCCTAGCAAGATGAATTCTCTCATGGTCGTGATCTCATGATTACTGCAAAGATCCAGCTGTGTTGTAAGGTATTAAAAAAAGAGCTTGAGTATCCTCAGGGCTACAGATTTTCTAATGCACTGACAAGGCAAGCAGAATGCATTAACTCACCAGTGTATTAATATATTCACGTAATTACTTTCAAGGCAGCACAGATGAGTTTCACTTGTAGAAGATCAAACTGCAGGGTRTTATTATCACCGTGCATGGCTAAACTACAAAAGAGTAAATTATAAGATGTAATGTATGGAACAAATATTATGTAAACAAAACTCTGGCTWAAAAAATCAGCATTTTTTTGAAGTTCTAATATGGAGATGGTTGAAAATAATTATAAAAATAACTTGTAACAAGATGTTTGGATTTTCTGATAACCTTTTTTGTTTGTTTTTGATGGATGCATTTAATCTCTGATTAACGTAATGGTTCTCAAACTTTTTCTGTCAGGCACCCGTTTTGAGAAACACAGTTTTCTGAGACCCCCCAAAACCAGTCAGGCTCCAGAACAAAACGTTTTCAGATATAAGCATTGGTAACAAAGGARATCCAAAGTTATAACCATTCTTTTCTGTTTCACTCTGAATTATTTGCTGTTGAATTTAAAAAACACACACAAAAAWTTGGACTAACAGAATGAACTATTTCACATTTCCATTAAGTCAACATGAGCAATTCACCAAAGAGCTTAAAGACAAGTTACAAAAATCTAAAAGGTATTTTCCAGAGATCCTAACAGGTTTGTTTGTTAAAAAAATCACTGTACTGTTGAGTTTTCAATTTTTTTAAAAAGAGGTGCTTCAGGAAATAGCTTTTTTATACAAGTGGAACGCAGGATGAACATGAGAATAAGTGTTCAGAATCAAAGCAGCATTAAAAAAGAGTTTTACTCCAAGTTTGACAATCTCGACATCATCGAGGTCTTTTATTCAGGCTTCACACTTAGTGTGTCAGAGCACTATACTTACGTGTTTTTTTTTCAGTCCAAGTTGCTCTTCCTGCTGCGACAACACACATTAAGATAACATTGCTTAAAGAAACAAAGAAAATACACTAAAAATTTAAATACTGTTCGGTAAACAAACAAAACAAATTAAAAAACCAAGTGTTTTTGGGGCTCTTTTCACATAAAATAAGGAAAAACAACTCAGTATGTCAGAAACACCCTGGTCACAGCTGTGGGGTTGTGTGTTTCTGATGTTTTCATGCTAAAGGACTCCTCACAGTTTTATCTTTAGACACACACCGCAGGACGACCAGATTGGATTTACTATATCTGTCTCCAGCGAAACATGAATTTGTTGTAATTGTGATGACAAACTCCTCATGCTAGATTAGTGTTTGCTGTTATGTCATCAGAGCGTTCCTCCCGAGTGGCTCGCTAATGAATTCTGCTGAAATCTTAGCACTCCCAGAAGCACAAAGACACACGCACATATGCACATCCCTAGTATAATAAAATAGATCTGAACAACAACACCCCTAAATCCACTGTGGCTTTCATGTTATTGAGTTTTTGTCTCCCAGAAATGAAAAAGGGGTTCAATTCTTATGTTTTACTGAACGGTTTATACATTATTCATTCACTGAAATCTCAAGTGATTTGTTTGTGTTTGGAGTGTGAGTCAGGGATGACTCTCAGCCACCAACACACCAAACTTTAGCTCATTATTTTTACAATTGACTTGAGCCAGAGYCATTTTTATTCTGGCTAACATTGATTAGCTGTGGGAGCCATCTTGAATCTTGAATTGAATTATTCAGTGGTAATATTTGCCTTCTGGGCATTTTAGTAAAATCCATTCAATGGTTCATGATATATTTTGCTAACACAAGTAAACAAGTGAAGGTTCAACACAATCCTTCCTCAGATACTGTAGCTAACTTTTACTAACTGGCATTTTAAACGGCGTGTGAATGTTTTTGTACAGCGCCCTGAGATGACTTTTCCTATGAATTAACACTACATACAGTAAATAAACTGAATGAACACGGCAGCCACAGACACGAGCAAAAACATTACTGCCCTTTCACCTTCAGCATTAAGCTATTCAAAAACACAAAAGTGCAATCTTTTAAGCTTTGACAGTTTTCTACATTCTTTTCTTTTATAAAACCGACTTGCAGTGTTAGTGGCCTTGTTCCAGGTGCAGCGAGTAAAATTATTTTTAAAGTCAGCCGAACAGGAGCTACAACAAAGAAAGCGGCCTTCCTTTTTGTTGGAAGGTTTTTAGATTTGGAACAGTTTGCCAACATCATTAAAACTGTTGTTAGATAAAACTGATAGTAGAGAATAAAACAACTCTTAAGAGTTTTTACTCTCAGGTGAAACAAAGACAAATCTACAATTTACATCTGCTCCTACAGCTWTAACTAAACAATATTTACTCTTCATGCATTTGTGTCTTTCTCTTGACTTTATTGGTATTTATTATGTGTGTGTGTGTGCCTGTACGAATTTTTTTTTTATATTTACGTTATCCAGCTGTACAGCTTCTAGAGATTAAATTTCCTTTAAAGGGGCAATATTATGTGTTTCTCAGGCTTGTATTTAAATACTATACCATAATAAAGTATTTATGCTGTTTTTATGTGTAAATAGAAAATAAACTTATCTTCTCATCACTTCCTCTTCTAAATGCCTTGAAATTGGCCTCTGTCTCTTTAAGAACCACCTTCCATATCCCGTGGGTGGGGGGGTTCACGCGTGCGTTATGATGCAGTTTACTTGGCAACTGAAAACACATTTCCTCAAAGGTATTTTGAATCTGAAAAGAGCTTCACTGAGTGAGTRGTAGTGTTAAGAGCTCAGCAGACAGTTTAAGTTTCACTTTCACTTTCACTCGTTTGCTTTGTTACTGCAGAGAGCCTGCAGGAGTCATGGGCGGGGTGTGTGGGGTCGAGAGGTGTGCTCAGTGATGAGGAAGCTCGGCTTGGAGACACGTCCCAGGGGCGTTTCTGGTCCCCACCTGTCGTTTTGCTCCTCAGCATGGCTGCCTAAAAATGCTGCAAGATTTCTCAAACATGCATGAATGAGTCAAAGCAAGGCTTTGGGCATGTTTTTATGAGAGTATAACATTATAACATGATATAAAACTCAAAAAAGTTGATTTTACATGAWWTTGCCCCTTTAAAGCATATTCAGTAAAATGTTTTTTGACATCTAACCTCGCTGATCTGAACAAACTGAATAAAGATTTGTCCACGTGGGAGCCATTTAGAATCTGTTTTTAAACAGTGTGGATGTTTGATTTATGTCTCCTCCACACAGGTGGACCTGCTGGCCATCCTTCATTACCTCTGTTGGGTGAAGGCCCTGAAGATTCCTCAGCCTGCCCGTACTGCGTCTACTACAACCGTCTGAGCAGCAGCGAAAACGCAGATGAGGAGCTGCAACACGAGCACTGCGACCCCTGCAGCGGCGAAGACCCGGGTCACCAAAACGACGCCCGCTGCAGCGATGCCCAGCAGCCCGAGTCAAAGAAAAGCCTGTGGAGGTGCTGTTGGGCGAGGCTGCAAAGCAAACTGGAACTCATCGTCGGCAGCAGATATTTCAGCAGAGGCATCATGATTGCCATCCTTATTAACACCCTGTCGATGGGCATCGAGTACCAYGAGCAGGTAGGCTTTATTTTCGCCATACTTGTGTGTAATTGTGTGTGTGTGGACCTACCTGGCAAACTTTTCAATTGAATGTGACTGTGGCGTGATTGACGTGCTAATCACCGCGTGTGGGAGAGTCAACAAACTTGGCCTCCAATCAACACATGCAGCGGTAAGCTTATGGGATCACGGCGTGCGTGTGCGTGTGAGARCGCACGTGGGTGTGTGCAGGCATGTTTCAGGAGATGGGGTTGGGTGGGTGGGGGGGAACTCATAAGACCTCAAGTGTTAATTAAAGCGTGACCCTGGGACAGGAGAGAGATTGAGCGGAGAGGAAGCAGAGCGGAGTCAGAGAAGCAGGCAGGAGCGGGAGGAGAGATGAGGTGGAGGAGGACAGATCTGACATCGTGATTGGCTGAAAGGCAGCAGCAGCTTGTTGGAGAAATGAAGGGAGGATTTCATTTGGCTCGCTTCCTAAACAGTGTGGCAGGTCGGGATGGCTGTAATGTTGTCAATGACTAATTTTTAAGGAGAACAGCAGCTATATTTTATCCCACTTTCATACCCYGAAGAGTCCAAACTCAGCTATGAGGATGTCTGAACAAACACAAACTCTAATGTTTTTTACATTCTCCTTTATACTTGCAGGATCCCAAAGTTTCCTTTAGCATTGTTCTGTATTTTCAGTCTGAATGACCAGTACAATTTTTACCCAGAACCACCTCAGTGGYAGAGCTCGGCGTCACTGAGCRTGCTCAGAAATCGTGCACATGAATCATGGCAGCAACATCAACTCACATCTGATCCAAATGTATTTGTGATYACACATCAGCAATTTGTTCATATTTCCTCATTTTGGACATCTTGTGTGTGGATAGTGTATTTTATTTGCAAATTCTATTTTCCTTTTAAGTCTTTTCATTTAAAATTTTATAAATGTTGCACAGAGGAYGCCTGACTTMAGCTRACAAATGTCACAGAAAACTAAAATGATTGTGAAAATTTCAATTCAGCAAATAGTAAAAACATTAAAAAGTTGCACGAATGAATTATAATCTTTTTGTTGAATTATTAGCTTCTAATTAATTAATTAATAAATTGTTTCGAGTTCATTGACAAAAAGAAGAAAACAAAAACATATTTCCACCATAAAAGCTTTTTTGTTAGATTTCCGTGTGTATTAAGGATCAAAAACGGCCCATGTAAAGACAATGCGTCGGTGTTGTGAACTATTTCAAGTTTTAATTAAAATTATGCCTATACGTTGCACAATTTTCTCTTAACGACGGCGATGTTTTATTTTCGGTGTCCTCAAAGATCTTTTCTTGCATCAAATTCTTTTCACTTGATATTCATTTAAATTGGTATGCAGTCCTTGAAAAATCTGAAATGTTTTGAAACCTGCAAAACCTTTTTTTCTCTTTGTGTAAACATTTTATTAAAAAAAACATTTGAAGCAGACATTTTGCCCAACTGTTTGGTGTTTTTAGCTTTTTTGGCTTTTCGTCTGAGCTCTTAGTTTGATTTGACAACGCCACACATTTTATTTGTAAAGACAATAAGACAGAGAATCAAAAACATTTTTTTCCAAACTGTCGTACATTTGTAGCTATTTTTTCCCCAAGACTAGACAAGGTCCTAGTGCAATAGTTTACCTTTTTTTTAAAGTGGGGTTACGAAAAGAATTGAAACTATACAGTACTTGTTAACTCTTTAAGTGGTCTTARGTAGAGAAACAGAGATTTTTTTTCTGAGTAGCGAAAGTCTAGTCCCCAAAAAAATCAAAGCAATTTCTACAGGTATTAGTTTTACACTGCACTGTTATTGGATTTATGTGCTTTTTGCAGGGACAAAATGCATTGGCAGCAGCTGTATCACTTCCTATGTAGTTCTAGCAGGAATATCACAAAGTTTCTGTACAAGTTGTTGTGGAGTTTAATGTAGATGGTAAAATAGTGTTTTCATGAAATTTCTTTAAAACTTTTGAAACTGTTTTTAGAGATTACAGCAATCCTTTAATCTTAGTTTTCGTTGGAGCAGCTGTTAGCTCATCAATCGGACCAAAGCTAACCTCTATTTCTCATAAACTGAAGATTTTCAAAGAGCTTCCTTTCACTGAATTACTACAGTTCAAAAGACACAAACTATTTCTTTAATGATTTTTTTCTAGAGTAGTCACATGCTTGTTTAGAAATCACTAAAATTTCAAATCTGCAGAGGTCTATAAAGTATGTAACTAAGTAAAAGTAAAAATACCTTAACAGAAAATTACTTTGGTAAAAACAAATTTCACTGATAAGAAAAGTACTTAAGTAAAAGTAATAAAACTGMTCACAATATTAAAGTGAAAGGAAAAGTATGTTTACATACGCTAATAAATGAATAAATCTACCCACTAAAACTGGTTCCACTAAACTGAGTTGAGTAAACTGAGCAATTTACAATTTCTGTAAAAAAAAACAAAAAAACAAAAACAATTAAAGAAGTGTAAATTGCCTTCCATTTACTCAACTAGGCTTAGTGGAACCAGTTGACTTAAAATGGTTAAGTAAATTTAAAACTTCATTTCTTTTAGAGTGCATAAACCACTGCTGTCACGATGAGGTCTGAGTCAGGTTTAAATTTGTAACAGGTAACCAGGTGTTAAATTTTAAAGTAAAGAAGTAAAAGT